GTGTGTGTGAGAGTGTGTGTGTGAGTGTAAGTGAGTGTGTGTGAGAGTGTGTGTGTGAGAGTGTGTGAGAGAGTGTGTGTGTGAGCGTGTGTATGTGAGTGTAATTGAGTGTGTGTGAGTGTGTGTGAGCGTGTGTATGTGTGAGTGTAATTGAGTGTGTGAGAGAGTGTGTGAGAGTGTATGTGAGAGTGTAATTGAGTGTGTGTGTGAGTGTGTGTGTGCGTGTGAGAGAGTGTGCGTGTGTGTAATTATTTTCATAGTTCATACAATTCTAGGTTAATGATTTAACAAGGTGATCTTTGCTCACATACACATTTCCATTAACATGCATACAACCCTTAATGCATGATATTCCTCAAAACGTCATTAAAATATATATATATATACAGTATATAATGTAATATTTGACAGAGGGTTTTTTGTCCTGAGGTGACTCTAAGAATAATGGCTAAATCTCTTGAAGAAATCTCGGACATGTTGAAAACTCAGTTCTTTTATTTAACCGTTATTAAATGTTTCTCACCAGCACTGCCATAAACGCTTATTTCTGGGACATGATAAAAGCTCTTCATTTGACACTTGCAGCCCGTCAGTTCAGCACGTGAACTTTACATCATAATAAAATATGAGCAGCGTGACTGTCACTCCTACACTAGATATTACAGTTTAGAAAAAATAATTTCATTACTTGATCCTTGAAACACACAATCAAGTGGAGATGCCATGTGTATATATAGAATATACTGTAACACCCTAAAGACATCTGAGGCACGAGAGGACAATGATTTCACAGAGAGAATATGAAATGGAAATATATATATATATAAAGCGTAAAACAGATAAACAGTGCATATGACTCCAGAAACAGCTCATCTATTCTGTACAAACATGAGCACGACTGCGAACGCTTCATCTGTCTGTAAGGCAGAAACTAATCACACAATGCGTGAAGAGGAAGGATGAATCTGGCAGACGAGTCGGGGACGAAACCAACTAAAGAGCGACAGTTTTACCTTTATTAATAGATTATGCTGGATGTGATCATTTATTCATCAGCTTGTGTGTGAGCGCTCACGCTGGCTCTAATGCTGTGGAATCAGTCTGTGGTCACGTGCTCTTCTGCCTCCACGCCCCCTGCAGCTGCCGCAGACTCTCGAACGCCCGCATGCTGATGTTCAGCGCCGGATGCACCTTCCGCAGCTCCGCTTCTCCGATCAGAGACAAGCCGCAGATGCCGAAGTACGTGTGGAGAGGGTCTGAGGCGCAGACGGTGGAGACAGGAGAGACACGGAGACAATAGATCAGTGGCACTCATCAACACCTGCTGCTGACACACGCCACAACACTCCGACTGAGTGCCAACACAGCTCTGTGTCTTTAAGAGCTCATGAATAATTCATGCTGACCCGTTCAGAACCCCGTGATGTCATCAGCGTCTCTCTGCAGGACACGCCTCATTTTCAATGCATTAGTAAGCTGTTTTCTGTGACCGTGAGACTTCTGCTTCATTAGCCGCTACAGATAAAGCACTACAACTAGAATAAAGTGCAGTAAACAGTAAAACTATTTCCGCTGCAAACCAGTGCGTTAATAATTATGAGAATACATTAAAATAATATGATAAGCAGCATAATTTTTGTACAGGTGAGATAACTGGAAGTCTCACAAACAGTCGCTTCTGGAAGTAAAAATCCCATTCATTTTCTCCACAGGGGCACTGACGTTTAACAATAACTTAGAAATCTTTCAAAACAGACCTACTGTAAGCTACAGTTTTGTAATTTCAACACATGATTTCAACTTTTTTTTTTTTTTTTTTTTTTTTAAGTAATCATTAAACAGAGGAACTCCTGATGAAACATTACGTTACCCATGATTCAGCACAGAAATCAGAGAATCAAAACAAGCCAATCCTGCCACAACTCTTTAAAGCTCGCACGCAAATTACATCATTGAGCAATTAAAAACACTGTATTTTCAGCATCATTACTGCAGTCTTCAGTGTCACATGATCTTCAGAAATCAGTATAATATGCTGATTATTAGAAACATTTCTGATTATTATCAATGTTGAAAACATTAATATTTTTGAGGAAACTGATACATTTTATTTTTCAGAATTCACAGATGAATAGAAAGTTTAAAAGAACAGCATTTATTTAAAATTTAAATATTTTGTAACATTATAAATGTCTTTACTGTTACTTTTGATCAATTTAATGCATCCTTGATGAATAAAAGTATTGATTTCTTTAACAAAAAAATAAAAATAAATGCTGTTCTTCTGAACTTTCTATTAATCTGTGAATCCTGAAAAATAAAATGTATCAGTTTCCTCAAAAATATTAATGTTTTCAACATTGATGATAATCAGAAATGTTTCTAATAATCAGCATATTAGACTGATTTCTGAAGATCATGTGACACTGAAGACTGGAGTAATGATGCTGAAAATACAGCTGCGCATCACAGAAATACATTACAGTTTAACAGATATTCACATAGAAAACAGCTGTTTTAAACTGTAATAATATTTCACATTTTTTACTGTATTTGTTATCAAATAAATGCAGCCTAAATGCAGAAATTTAAAAAATATATAAAAATCGTACTGATCCCAACCTTTTGAACAGCAGCGCATATATTGTTTCTATATACACACAATCAGCATTTCTTTATATTTAGCCATTATTTTTAATTTGATTATGTAATTTCGCAAGTATCTTGCAAGTTTTGGTCTGATTTTTAAAAATACTTTTTTACTTCAAATCAAAGTTTGTAATATGATTCTTTTAAAAAAAGACTCTTTTAATAATCCCTATGTGAGAAATGAATGGGAAAATACTTCCGGAACTAAAGCTGCTGAAAAAGTGTGTGAAACTGATGAGCTACAGTCAAAAGATCAACGAATTATTAATATTCATACAGATGATTAGCGCTCATGTGCCCTCCAGACGGTCTCCTGTCCTAATAAACCCCATCAAATACATGTCTATTAAAATATATATATATATATATATATATATATATATATATAT